TTGCGTAAAAAGAGTCTTTCGAAAGTGGTAATCTGGCCGTGAGATTCAGCTGATGGAAAAGGGGGCAGGGAGTGAAAAAGATGGACGGATAGACGAGCGAATAAGACATTAGAAGTACTGTCCACCATCGCCATATCGAAAACGAAACACACTAGAGACTGCACCCATATTATCATACGTACCAAAGGTTAGATTTAAAAAAAAAAAACTCAAGAAATATGTTGGCATGGAGATGTACAAATAAAAAAAAGAAAGGCATATGCACCTTGATAACGAAAGCTGAAGGAGACGCTCTTATAATCGTCTGGATGATCTCATCCTTTATCTTGTCAAAGTTCCGTTCAGTCAACCAGTTGAGCAGACTAGACACACCAGTAGAACAGCAGACATAGTTCAATATGTTATTATATCTAGAGACTTAAACCCCAATGAGGCAGAAGAATGAAATGGAAACATGAGGTGTGTAAATGAGTAGTTAATTACCTCCTTGATTTATCCAAAACTCGTTTCTCGTTGGAATTCCCTACTCCTCCATACGAAGGCTTAGAGTTCATCTTCAATATGCAATCAAATGCAGATAAGTTTTTAGAATCAATGACAAGAACTTTGAAAAAAAAAAAGAAGAAGATGATATGTGAGTAGACGTGAACTAATTACATGGCCGGCCAAACTCCAGCGAGAATCCATGCATGAAAGATGCTAAACAAAGTTCTTTTTCTTCTTCTTAAACTCTTGTTGACTTCACACTCTCCTTTGAACTTCCCGACGTCATCTTGAGAAGGTACAACAAAAATAAAGAGCAACGTCGTTTGAACTTCATCATCATCGTAGTCTGCACCGCACCTACGAAAGTATGACGTGTCTATTTTCCTCATTAAACCTCGGCCCATAATAAGAGAGGTTAAGCCCATTAGTATTGGGTTCTTAATTAGGATGTGTTTTGCTACTTTCTTATGAAAGATTAATGGGTCGACGAGTTATTTCCCTACGAAAAGTATCGTATAGCACCAGATGTCCACGGAACTATGACCTCGTGCTATTTACCCCCGAAAATAAAGTTCAAAACCTATGTCCCCACCAATTTAAAGTTATAATGTTATTTCCCCATAGTTATAAAGATCGAAATCTAAAACCCCAGAAAGTCAATTTTTATTGATTTACTGTTTTTAAACAAACTATTAACCATGTTAATCCAATTACTAACCGGATTAAGACCCAATTACACTCGGTTATGATCCACGACTTAATTAAAAACCCGAGATCCTAAGTCGTGGGTCATAATCGAGTGTAATCAAGTCTTAGTCCGATTAGTAATCTGATTAATATGGTCTACAGTTTGTTTAAAAACAGTTTATGTGGTTTTTGATTTCGATCTTTATAATTTTGGAGAAATATCATTATAATTTTAAGCTGGTGGGGAAATAGGTTTTAAACTTTATTTTCGGTGGTAAATAGCACGAAGTCATAGTTCTGTGGACATATGGTGCTATACGATACTTCTCGTGGAGAAATAGGTCGTCGACCCAAGATTAATGCATTCCTACTATACCCGTCTCATGAGAAAAATAGCATACTTGTTACTGTGTAGATGAAGAGAAGCAAATGGGGGGTTTGAATAGAAGAAATTGCAGAGCCTAGTCAAGGAGAAGACACTTTTACTATTCCAACTTGGGGACTTTTGCTGATAGTATTACTCCTGGCGTTATCAGATCATTGGTAACGTTAAAAGGACAAACCTAGTAGAACACCGTTGGGAATTGGGATGTTGAAGGATTAGTGCCCCTCGTCTTATATGAAAAGAAATAACGGTTTCTTTTGCCAGAGAGACAAGTCATCATCTTTTCCTTTTTTTATCAATTTTAATTTTTTAACTAGATCTTGATCCGCACAACCGTATAGGTGACTATTTTCATTTTATACAAATACTAGGGTAAACCCGTCCTACAACTTTAAGTTTGCTATTATTGACTTGAAATCCCATATGGGACGTATTAAAAAGAGCTGTAATTTATTTTTGACATGAAAACTATACATATATGAACACAAACATATAAATATGTGGGTAGTCAAGCATGTGTGACATTTATTCTATTGTTATTGCGATAGCATATAATCATAACAGATTTAGTGTCCATGCTCTGACATCTTGGACATATCAGAGTCTTGGTTTCTTCAGACTGCATGCCTGTCCTCTGCTGAATGTTCTTGTCCTCTTTCTATCTCTCTGATCCGTTGATGTTGCTTCCTCTTTGTCCCATGTGTCTGGTTTTGAATCATGTGAAGCGTGTAGAGTTTCTTGTTGTTACAGTTTTTCTTCTTATTATCTGTTAACTGAAATTACTTACTCTTCTTCTTTTTTTTTCTGATAACTATGGAACAACTTGCTCTGTAGTTACCTGAGTGAAGGTAATAACAAACATCTTAGTTTAAGAACACTTGCAATGAGTCTAACGATTTTTACAACTAATTAAAGAAAATATGGTTGATAAACTATGCTCAGCACAAAGCACGAAGATAGAAAAAAAAATTTGTAGACTACATCTTATAACAGAATAAAGAAGACACAATACACCAACAAATACATAAAACAAAAGAAAAAGTGATCAGAATTCAAATCTAACACTGACAAAGAGAGTATATTCTTCCAAAATGAAAGAGTACATAGAAGCAAACAGTATCATTGACAACATAATCATATAATTTGAAGCAACTGGATTATGCCACAGTAACAAAAGATTGTAATCAAAAGTTAAGATAAGATTGTAGCAGATCAAATGTTAAGATAGTTAACGAAAGCTTGGAAGAGGACAACATCAAGCACAAACAATGTCTTGGACATTGCACTTAATTCCTCAGAACATTCCTCGAAAGAGAATAAATGGATATACATGAGTTGTTTGGGGATC